GATGAAATGAGCACTATTGGATATTTACAACAAAGTGACAGCAGTTGTCAAAATAATCTAATGTGAACGTTTGGCTTTTTCATACAAAGGTCATTATAATAATACTAGAAATAGAAATGTCAATATGTCATTTTAATGACAGTAGAAATATGCGCGATTAAACGTTTCTAATAAATATTTACACATCCATAAATATCGGTGGCAATCGAAAGCCCGACAACCGAAATTCCCGACGTTTGAAATCCCGACGGTATCGAAATACCGACGTTCGAAATCCCGAGAACCATAATCTCGATTGTATCAGAATCCCGACAACCATAGTGTCGGGATTCTACAGTTATGTTATTGTGAAAAATTTCTATATATAGTCGGGATTTTGATACAGTCGGGATTAAGGTTCTCGGGATTCTGATACAGTCTGTATTATGGTTGTCGAGATTTTGATAAAGTCGGGATTAAGGTTCTCGGGATTCTGATACAGTCGGTATTATGGTTGTCGAGATTTTGATACAGTCGGGATTTAGAACGTCGGAATTTCGATACAGTCGGGATTTCGAACGTCGGGATTTCGATTGACGGGATTTCTGTTATCGGGTTTTGGATATAGACCTCATAAATATATAATTAGATAAATTTCAATAGTAACTGAAACAAAATCTAAACTTTTTTGACAGAAAAAATGAGCAGAATTGGACATATACTAAACAAAATAAACATCAACTGTCAAAATAATCTAATGCGAACGATTGTCTATTTCGTACAAAGGTAATTATAATAACAATTGATTCAAATCTGAATCATGAATAATATATTTGTCGTAAACAAAAAAATAAAAACGAAACACGTAACCTACTTTAATGACAGATAAAATATACACGATTACACAAATTCTAAACAATAATTCAAATATATATATCTAGAAACTTCATTATGACGTAAAACAATTGTCTGTCAAAACTAAAATAACAAATGAAATGTTTGCACATGCGAAATTCATTTATTAATTGATAATAACAATTTATACAAATCTAAAATTTAAAGGACATAAATGGAAACACTAAACTGAAAACGTCATTTTGACATAAAACAATTATGTGTCAAAAACGTATTAGCAATTTGATTGACAGATGAAAATTGTAAGAATAACAATATTTATACATGTATAAAAAATAATGATATTTTCGTATAAAAAATCTAAACTAGAAAACGTCATTATGATATGAAACAATCACTTGAGATAAACAAAATACCATTGAATTAACCACCAAATCAGAAAGTTTACTTAAAATTACATAATATACGCATTTTTTTCATACATTTTCAGTTTCTTCTACTTTTAGTAGGAAAATCAATACAAATTATATAAATTATGATTGTATCATGAAGCATATACAAATTATGTAAATAAATATTATATATTCATACTTTATTTGATTGATACCATTGAAGATAATACATAACATTTTTCTATTATTGATTAACGCAATACAATATTAACATACGGATTAACATTAAATACAGATTATCGTTTTCATTTTTCTTGATTATCTCATCAAATTGAATACATTTATATTCAGAACTAATGTCAATATTTTTACAGTTCTATCTGAAAAAGACTTGGAAAAGGTTTAGAACTAAAGAATTAAGATTCGATTCGTTTATATTAAATTTTGCATAAGCGAAGTAAAGGATATGACAGAAAATGGTTAATTATATAATGATTGTGTTAATTAACTAAAAATTATAAAACATTCACACTAATTATTATATTAATGATCTATACATTATCAATACTTAATCAACTTAAGTAATTTTTTTTTATTTCAAAGGATAACACTTAACACAATATTTTGATTATGTCATAATGACGTTTCTATTTTAAATTTTGTATCTATGGTTACAATAATATACATTTTCATTTTTTTTAACAATATTGTTGTTTTTAATTAACGAAAATTAATTAACACTTGTTAAAATGATCTTTCATTAACGAAAAATTCATTTGTTTTTTAGTCTATTTTATTTATTATTTTACAAAATTATGATCAAACTAAAATTTTCCTCTTTTATTTTACTAATCCAAGATTCTTCATAAAATCAACTAAAATGTATATCAATTTCGTTAGTCTAAAACACTTCATAATTTTCAAAAACTAACATAAATTTCGCTATGATTTAGCTTAAAATACAAAAAGCTACAATAAAATCGGATGAATCAATAGGAAAATATTCAACTTGAAAAATTTTGTGATTCATTCAAATAAAACATAGAATTTCATATAATCGATCGTAACTTATAATGTTCCATAATCGATAAGAAAACATATGTAAGTGAAATCAAGAGAAAATGATTCATTATTACTATAATCTATAGTGTTTTTAAGATAAAATTAAAAAAAAAATATATGTTCAAATAAACAATTCTGGAAATCGAAAACAAATAACGGAAATACACATTAATTACTCATAGATGTAAAAGTGTAATAAGTTTGCTTATATCGTGAATTACGTTGTGAATTTTGTAGTAAGTTTATTAAATCAATGCAATGAGGCTAAGGTTACTCTGGGTCACATTCTTGCGGAAATAGTAATTAGAAAATTTTCGAAACTCGCTCAGCTTTAACATTCTCAACTCGTTTACATTTTGTAATTTCGCAAATAAATTCAGCAATAAATACTGTTTATGTTATTGCATTGTGTTGATACGTTTCGTAATCGTTTTGTTTCCTAGAGTTTTGTTTTTATCTTGCGAAGTTTTTTTATGTGAATGTTATTTCTTGGAATTTCGTTGTTATTTCGTTACCAATTTTCAAAAACTTAAATTCATATCAATTTCGTTATTATTTGGTTTAAAATGCTAAAAGTTACAATAAAATTGGATGAATTAATTGCAAAATATTCATGTGAAAGTTGTTGATGGTTTTACTGAGTGTCGTTGAGAATGAAATTTAGTAACGTTTCGTAGGTGAGAATGTGCGACTTCGCACCGGAACGATGATTGGACGTGCAAGCAAACTGGGTTAGTCTGTTTACAGATTGTATAGTTAACATCGTAATACGTAGGCGCACCTAGATAACGGAAATACAAGGCAAATCGAATACTGCGAACGGAAATAATCGAAGGATTCACGCTCATCCTTTTAAAGTAAAAAAAAGCAGCAGCAAACATTAATCTCACTAAGAAACCGATCCGCTCCGAAACCATTAAAGAAATTACTTTTCCACCTGGTTACATAATTTTTTTGTTTTTGTTTTCATTGATCCGCATTAATAATTTACTTTCGTCTGATTGGATTTTCTTTATTTTTCTTTTTCTAGCAAGATGACAGCAATCAATCGAAACAATCACGGATTCGCGAAAAGCAAAGAAATTACCACCACTCGCACTGAAGATGGTTTCGTGGCGAAGATAAGGTGGCCCGATTTCCTGGTCCAAATCTTCATCCACGGAGGATGTCTATACGGATTTTATTTAGCCCTCTTTGAGGCTCGTTTCTATACAAGTCTATTCGGTAATTATCACCTTCATCACACAAGAAACACTTTAACAATTTACAGAATTCCATTAGAATTATATTAAAAAAACATCGCTTTTTTTTAATTAAAAAATGTAAAAATTAACATTTTTTTAATTATAATCAATGATATCCATAGCATCGATGTTATTTTTGTATTTATTTCTGGCATTATTTAATTATGTAATGTTTGTTATGTAAAGTACTGTGATCAAAGGTTTCCATATCAACCATACATATTTTCATAAGAATTATATTGAAAAACAAAACTAATAATGACAATCAATCGTTTCCATAGCAATGATTTTAAATTTATTTACAGCATTGTTTTATTATGCAATGTTTTATATGTAAATTGGTAATTGCGCTCAAAGGTTTCCATGTCAACCATCTTTTTTTTTACTTATTTCCGTCAGTTTATCGTGAATACAATTGCGGTTGTGGCAGTTCTCCAATCAACAAAATTTAATTGCGAATTGTAGTAACCACAGTATATTTTCTTTATCGTAATTTAGCTTAAAAAAATATATGATTTTCAATTAATTACGGAATCCTTAGATTCACCGGCATAAGTGATTTTATGTAATTTGCATGTTAATTGTTAAGTAGAAGTTTTATTTCGAAATCGATTTAAATCTTCTTATTTTTGGTTTTGTCTAGTATAAATTTGCTTTTTTTCATTTCATTGCATAGTTTACAAACTTCGTGCCCAGATGATAAATTAACGTAAATCTTGTATAATTTTGTAGATTTTATATAAAATTAACAAATAATTTCTCTAATACGATTTTTTCTATCATTTATGTAAAATAATCTATCGTAATTAATTAAAAAAATATCAAAATTATGTATTTTTTTTGTAATTTTTACAAATATTTTAGTTAATACGAACTTCGTTTATAAGTCAATCGAAATCTTCTAGATTTTCTATCAAATTAACAAAAAAAAAATGTTATTTTATTTATGTGAAATTATCGAATTCAATGGATGAGAATAAGTGTGGATTTGCTATTAAATTATGAAAGAGCGTTAGCTTTTTTTTCAATGTAAAATAATTGATTTATAAATTAAATTTTGGAGAAAATTAACTAAGATTTTGTCTATTTTGTACTTGTATACGAATTCCAAGTACTGGAAGATGTTGTAATCAGTACTTTTTCTATTAAATGAAGAAGAATCCATTAAATGATTGAATTAACTATGCATTATTGAATTAGAAAACGATAATTTAGTGGATTTAGACTCATGAAGGAAATTATTGCATTAACTCTGAAATATTGAGACAAAGTTTGGTAATTTATTGAAATTTCTAAAAAAAATAACAAATTCAACAAAATTTACAAAGACAAATAAACTTTAATCTATTTTCTTTCTAAGAAATAAATCCATCTGTCGATGAAATCACAGCCAACCATTAAATAGTAACGAAAATTATGGATAATTTTCTGGTATTTCTACGAAATTAACAAAGATATTTACTAATTTATATCTGTATATGAAGAATACGTTCAATGTTGTAGTTAGTTTATTTATTGCTAATAAAGAAAACGATTGATTTAAAAGTGATTTTTTAAGAAAATTTACAAAGATTTTAACTAGTTTGTACATGAATTTCATTTCTAATATATTGTTTAAAGAAACTTTAATCTATTTTCTGCAAATAGAAGAAACCCATCTGTCGATGAAATCACAGCCAACCATTAAATAGTAACGATGGAATTAACTGCGCGTTCTTGAGAAAAAAACGTGGATAATTCAGTAGATTTTCTACTAAATTTACAAATATATTGGCTCATTCTACACGATTTTATACTCATGAATGGAAACTGTTGAATTTACGGTGAATTTTATTGAGAAATTATTATTTTAGTGGAAGTTTGACCAAAAATTTGAGAAAAATTTAATTAGTTTTTGTATAAATTGAATTTGCAATAAATGTTGTACAAATAAACTTTAATCATTACTCTAAATTAGTTATTTTGTAAACTATTTTCTACAAAAAGATTTTAACTAGTTTTCGTATGAATTGTAGTTCAAATATGTTGAATAAGTAAACTTTAATCTATTTTCTACTGATGAAATAAATAACAAAAAAAACATCTGTCGATTAAATCACAGCCAACCATTAAATAGTAACGATTGAATTAACGGTGCATTATTGAGAACGTTTCAGCCAATTGCGCGTAGAAAAAAAAAAGAATAGGGAAAAGGTTACTCTGTTTAATCGACTGCGGTTTCCGGTTCTGGGAAGCGCGCATAACTAATATCCAACGGATATGAACTCTCCTCGCTGACCCACACTTTCTTCTCTATGTATTTCCAGCCTTCTGCACGGTATACACTTCCGGTTTCGGGATCACCGCCGGCGCCCATCGCCTCTGGTCCCATCGAGCCTACAAAGCCAGCTGGCAGTTGAGACTGCTTCTCATCATCCTCTTCACCATCACCGGACAGGTAAACTATACAAAAAAATAAAAAGTAGACAAATTTGTCGAGTTCGACGAGACGTGACGTAACGAAAAAGAGAAAAGAAAAACAGTTTTGTTTGTTTGCATCGAAAGCGGCGGAAAATTCCTCGTACAAGGAGAAAGAGAAAAAAAATAAATAAATAAGCGAATGAAAAGCACCGTTGTTCCGCGCCGTCTGTATGTACGTATGTTTGTATCATTACGGTAATGTTTTTTGACCCAATTGATTCTTATCTGGAGTCTGACAGAGCGTCGCGATCCATGATAGAATCGCGTTTTATGCGACGTCCTTTCAATAATCAACATCTTTCTGCTGATGGAAACGATAAGGAAAAACGCATTTGCACAAGGAATGAACGTCTCCTTATGTAATGTAATCACTTATCAGATTGATGCAGATTGGATATCTATCAATCTATCAATGATGCTGATTCTTGGGGAAATAAACTTTGTTTCTGTTGTTATATAATAGAGTCAATATTAAATAATTTTTGCAACCATAACATTCAGAAAGTATAATTGAGATCCAGCATTCATATTTTGGATTCATTCAATCTCTAAAATGTGAAAACAGTACTTTTTCGAGCGTTATTTGTTCAATTTAAACCCGAATTAAAGCCAAATGAATGAAATCGTAGCAATTTATGAATACTCGCTACATTCCTCAAACATCCAGCTTTCATAATAATCTTTTGCGTCCATTAAATCTACTATAGTTTTCGAGTAAATCAATAAAACGTGAAAATTATGAGCGAATTCAAAACATTTTCAAAACTTAGAAGAATGACGATAGTGCAGCTTCGATCAGTTATTTTCATGCGTTTCTATAGTCCTCGATCAGTCCGGTATTAAATATTGGCAGAATCGATTACCTGCACTATGCGGGTTATTGCTGTATAAGGAATAAAGCATGAAAAACCTAAGATTTTATTCTTTAAATAAACAAATATAAACGCGAATTACAGCAAAATTAATGAAATCATAACAATTTAAGAATACTTGCTAAATTCCTCAAACATTCAGCTTTCATAATCATATTTTGCATCCATTAAATCTACTATAGTTTTCGAGAAAATCACTAAAACGTGAAAATTATGAGCGACTTCAGAAATATTCCAAATCTTCGAAGAATCACGATAGTGCGGCTTCAATCAGTTAATTTCATGCGTTTCTATAGTCCTCGATCAGTCCGGTATTAAATATTGGCAGAATCGATTACCTGCACTATGCGCGTTATTGCTGTATAAGGAATAAAGCATGAAAAACCTAAGATTTTATTCTTTAAATAAACAACTTTAAACGCGAATTACATCAAAATTAATGAAATCATAACAATTTAAGAATACTTGCTAAATTCCTCAAACATTCAGCTTTCATAATCATATTTTGCATCCATTAAATCTACTATAGTTTTCGAGAAAATCACTAAAACGTGAAAATTATGAGCGACTTCAAAACATTTTCAAATCTTTTAAGAATGACGATAATGCGGCTTTGATCAGTTACTTTTATGCTTTTGTATAGTCCTCGATCAGTCCGGTATTAAATAATGGAAGAATCGATTACCCGCACTATGCGAGGTATTGCTGTATAAGAAATAAAGCATGAAAAACCTAAGATTTTATTCTTTAAATAAACAACTTTAAATGCGAATTACAGCAAAATTAATGCAATCATAGCAATTTAGGAATACTTGCTAAATTCCTCAAACATTCAGCTTTCATATGCACCTTTTGCATCCATTCAATCTATTATAGTTTTCGAGAAAATCCCTAAAAATTTGAATATTATAAGCGACTTCAAACATTTTCCAAATCTTCGAAGAATCACGATCTTCGATATATTATTTTTATGCTTTTCTAAAGCCCTCGATCAGTCCGGTATCAAATATTGGCTGAAGCGAGGTATGTATAAAGAATGAAAACCTGAGATTGTAGTCTTTAAGTAAAAGAAAGAAAAAGAGTGTCCATACTTTTCGACGCATTTCTTTAAAATTACAAAATGTAATGATAAAAGTGAAAAAACTAGTGCAATGTAGATTACAATTGTCGCGTTGTGGTTCATTTGAAATTGTGCATCTTTTTACCATATTTCAAAATATTAGATTAAAATAATTTATTATTTTGAAAAAATAAATATTCATAAATTTCAAAAATGTCTCTAGTCAAACAGTTTGCATCTAAAACTTTATTATTTTATGACTTCTAATCATCATAGAAACAAAACAATTGGCGACTTTATTTGGTTTCCATAATGATTATAATTACATAACGCATCGATATTGAAAGAAAAAAAAAATGAATAAAAGCAAATAGGCTAGATCAAAAGAAACACACTCACTCTCAAAAAAAAACTAGTGTGCGATGTGGACATTGACAATGTTACCATGGTAACTTGGCCTAATTTATTAGCCGTGCATAATTTATGTGTTCGGAGCCCAAACATTGTACATATGAACAACAAGAAAAAAACAGTGGTGGAAACAATTAAAAAAAAATAAAAACATGAGTTATTAATATGATCGTTGAATAATTGATGTTCATAGATCGAGCATTCGAATTAGGTTTTATTCGGTGTATGCAAATATGCAATAACGTACAAAAGTTTTCAATTGCAAATAGCAGAGGAAAAGAAAGTGCGGGTCGTTAGAACTGTGCCAGTTTTGCTGCAGAAACTTTTACTTATCTTCTCACATACATTGCACGTGCATTGCGCTCACAATGTGAACTCTATGATACGGAAATGTTACGAAACTGATTGCGTAATTCAATGGAAGAAATCGTCATGGAAAATTACGCTTAATTTTTTAACATCAATGTTCATAAAATGACGATAGTGCGGCTTTGATCAGTTATTTTCATGCGTTTCTATAGTCCTCGACCAGTCCGGTATTAAATATTGGCAGAATCCATTATTCGCACTATGCGAGGTATTGCTGTATAAGGAATAAAGTATGAAAAACCTAAGATTATATTCTTTATATAAACAACTTTAAACGTGAATTACAGCAAAATTAATGAAATCATAGCAATTTAAGAATATTTGCTAAATTCCTCAAACATTCGGCTTTCATAATCATCTTTTGCATCCATTCAATCTACTATAGTTTTCGAGAAAATCACTAAAACGTGAAAATTATGAACGACTTCAGAAATCTTCCAAATCTTCGAAGAATCACGATAGTGCGGCTTCGATCAGTTACGTTTATGCGAAATGTTACGAAACTGATTGCGTAATTCAGTGGAAGAAATCGTCATGGAAAATTACGCTTAATTTTTTAACATCAATGTTCATAAAATGAGACAAAATCCAAATATGATGTTTTTTTTATAAAAAGTCGTGTAAGAGTTTATATTTTTCTGTAAAACCACAGGAAAACGTTTGTTACGTAATTCAATTAAAAAAATAATCTAAAATATTAACAAAATGCAGTTATTTTTTGAAGATTTTACTCAATTTTAGTTAAAATTGTTTCTTTTGGTTTAGCGTGATGCTTATACTTGGGCCCTGGACCATCGAGTGCATCACAAGTACAGCGAAACCAATGCGGATCCGCACAATGCGAAGCGCGGTTTCTTCTTCAGCCACGTCGGATGGCTTTTCCTGACTCCTCACCCCGACGTCGTGGCCAAACGGAAGACCATCGACATGAGCGATTTGGAATCAGATTCAATTGTTATGTGGCAAAAGAGGTAAAAACTAATCTACAATTATGTTAACACATTTAACAATTTACTCAAATCTCACTCAGATTATATCCGGTGCTATTCGCACTCTTCGTGATCATCCTTCCAGTCTTCATGCCCGTATACCTGTGGAACGAGACCATCTGGAACTCGTTCTGGGTGAACTTCAACACCAGATTCTGCATCACCCTGAACATTGCGTTCTTCGTGAACAGCGTTGCTCACATGTGGGGACAGAAGCCGTACGATAAGTAATCTCAAACCACTTAAATAAAAGCAATCTTCAGACAAAGTTAACCGTTTCTTCCATTATCAGATACATCAGTTCCGTTGAAAATCTCGCTGTTTCCGTTGCGGCTCTCGGCGAGGGTTGGCACAATTACCATCACGTCTTTCCCTGGGATTACAAAACCGGGGAGCTCGGCAACTCTTACAATCCTTCCACGCATTTCATCGACTTCTTCGCTCGAATTGGATGGGCTTACGAGAGGAAGAGCGCAACCGGAGAGATGGTAGCAAGGAGGGCGAAGAAATCGGGAGATGGAAGTTACGTCTATGAGAACGAGGATGATCCTAATGTCTGGGGTTACGGTGATGCTGATATCCCTGGAGATGATATGCAGGAGCTACAGGATATGAAGGATTAGCCATAATTCGTTGTTTCTTCTTAATTATTCTGTTTTTTTTTGTTCTTTGATTAGTAGTATTATTAACACTTTTAAGTCGATGCTAGTCATATGACCTCCCGACCAAAAACGTATTTAATTCCTTTTGTATAATATATATTTTATTAAACGGTTTTTGAAACGTTTCTCTCGACTTTTATATTTTCCCTTTTCATTTTGATTCTTCTACAAAATCGTTTTCCTCAACATCCTAATTCTTTTGCAAAACCTTACTCTCTTACATAATTCTTCAATATTCGATTTGGAAACAATCAAAAAAAGTACCATTAATCAATTTGGTTTGGTTTTCTTCTGCTTCGACCACAATTCTCTTCATTTTCATTAACATTATTTCTAGTTTCTGTAATAACTAAAACATGGATAATCTTTGATTCAATTTCATTATTTAAAACAATAAACTATTTTGTTGCCTTCTGAACGTAATTTCCATTGATTTTTCTAACATTATTTCAATCTTCTTCAAATATTAAAAAAAGCATTTTTTTAAAATAATGTTCTTATTCGAAAATGTATTATAAACTAATTTAGTTTTCTTCAGTTTCAAACCACAAATTCATTCGTATTCTTTAAGTTTTTTTCAAAGACAAATAACTTTGATAATCATTTAATCACCTCAAAAACGCAACTTCTATAAAAAAAAATCAAGTTTTTTCAATACTAAAAATCTGTTCAAAGTAATTTAATTGTTGCTACGGCAACATACAACGTAGGTCAAAGAACACTGCTTCGACCACAATTTTCTTCATTTTCATTAACATTGTTTCTAGTTTCTGTAATAACTAAAAACATGGATAATCTTTGATTCAATTTCATTATTTAAAACAATAAACTATTTTGTTGCCTTCAGAACGTAATTTCCATTGATTTTTCTAACATTATTTCAATCTTCTTCAAATATTAAAAAAAAACATTTTTTTAAAATAATGTTCTTATTCGAAAATGTATTATAAACTAATTTAGTTTTCTTCAGTTTCAAACCATAAATTCATTCGTATTCTTTAAGTTTCTTTCAAAGACAAATAACTTTGATAATCATTTAATCACCACAAAAACGCAACTTCTATAAAAGTTTAGTTTTTTCAATACTAAGGTCAAAGAACACTGCCTCGAGGTACATCATACACATTTGGAGAGAGCTTACATCCTGCACGTTTTCTTCAGTATTTAACTGGTGTCCTGATTATTAAATTCCTTATAAATCTCTGTGGAATTTGCAGTCTCACTGATAATATTTGTAATCCAATGTGAAATACAGTTACGAATTTCAAATTTGACCTTTCATTGTTCACCTTAGATACGGCAATGCTAAAAATATAACATATTTCA